AGTCCTTCCACTTGAGCAAGCACCACGTGGTGCACACCCGCGAGCGGCCCTACAAGTGCGAGCTGTGCGGCAAGGTCTTCGGCTACCCGCAGAGCCTCACCCGCCACCGCCAGGTGCACCGGCTCCAGCTGCCCTGCGCCCTGGCCGGGGCCGCCGGCCTCCCCGCCAGCCAGGGCGCGACGGGGGCCTGTGGCCCGGGCGCTTCGGCCACGTCCGGGAGCGCCGCCGATGGACTGAGCTATGCCTGCTCGGACTGCGGCGAGCACTTCCCAGACCTCTTCCACGTCATGAGCCACAAGGAGGCGCACATGGCGGAGAAGCCGTACGGCTGCGACGCCTGCGGCAAGACGTTCGGCTTCATTGAGAACCTCATGTGGCACAAGCTGGTCCACCAGGCTGCTCCCGAGCGCCTGCTCCCGCCCGCGCCCGGCGGCCCCCAGCCCTCGGATGGCTCCAGCAGCACCGATGCGGCCAACGTGCTGGACAACGGGCTGGCCGGGGAGGTGGGGGCGGCCGTGGCGGCTCTGGCAGGGGTGTCTGGAGGTGACGATGCGAGTGGGGCGGTGGTGGCCGGGGGCGGTGGGGTTGCTGGTGCGGGCCCCGAGCGCTTCAGTTGTGCCACGTGCGGCCAGAGCTTCAAGCACTTCCTGGGCCTCGTGACTCACAAGTACGTGCACCTGGTGCGGCGGACCCTGGGCTGCGGCCTCTGCGGCCAGAGCTTCGCGGGTGCCTACGACCTGCTCCTGCATCGCCGCAGCCACCGGCAGAAGCGGGGCTTCCGCTGCCCGGTGTGCGGCAAGCGCTTCTGGGAGGCGGCCCTGCTGATGCGCCACCAGCGCTGCCACACGGAGCAGCGGCCCTACCGGTGCGGCGTGTGTGGCCGAGGCTTCCTGCGCTCCTGGTACCTGCGGCAGCACCGCGTGGTGCACACGGGCGAGCGGGCCTTCAAGTGCGGCGTGTGCGCCAAGCGCTTCGCGCAGTCGTCCAGCCTGGCGGAGCATCGGCGGCTGCACGCGGTGGCCCGGCCCCAGCGCTGCGGCGCCTGCGGCAAGACCTTCCGCTACCGCTCCAACCTGCTTGAACACCAGCGGCTGCACCTGGGCGAGCGCGCCTACCGCTGCGAGCACTGCGGCAAGGGCTTTTTCTACCTGAGCTCCGTGCTGCGCCACCAGCGCGCGCACGAGCCGCCGCGGCCCGAGCTCCGCTGTCCCGCCTGCCTCAAGGCCTTCAAGGATCCTGGCTACTTCCGTAAGCACCTGGCGGCTCACCAGGGCGGCCGGCCCTTCCGCTGCTCCTCCTGCGGTGAGGGTTTCGCCAACACCTACGGCCTCAAGAAACACCGCCTGGCCCACAAGGCCGAGGGCCTCGGGGGTCCTGGGGCAGGGACGGGCACCTTGCCCGGGAAGGAGGCCTGACCAGGGTGTGGGGGGGGGGGGCTTCCCATCTGCCACTCCAATCAGGTGTCCTTTTCCGGACTCGCCCCTTCGGGAGGCTGATCAGACTCCTTCCCCTCCTCTCTTTGTCCCATCCATCCTTCAGAACTTCAGACAGACTAGCCTCCTTCAAGGCCCATGTCATGCAAACTCAAGACTGAACCACTCCCATCTGGATCTCTCTGGCCCCCTTCTCTTCCTGTCAGACGCTGAACTTGATCCTCTGTCCAACCCCGTTTTGTAACCCTCATCAGCCCCCTGCCCCAGCAGCTGTTCAGTCCCCCAACGAGCTTGGTGGAGATGGGCCTGAACCGCCTCTCCCCCTTCCTTTGGACTCTGGCCGGACAGTGGAGTACGAGCAGTTTGGGAGGGCACAGGGGGGACTGGGCGCTCTTGGTTTGTGGGGGTGGGGGGCGGGTGGCAGACGCGGCTTGTACAGAGCGGAGAATAATAAATCTTATCAACAGGGCCGCTGGAGTCCTTTCTTGCCTCCCAGGGGGAGGGGGTTAAGCACTGACAAACCGAAGGTTGAGAACTTTTGTTCCCTGGGATTTTGATTTCCTGACACCTCCTGCCTCACCCTCGCTCTCTCTGCTTTTCCTCCTTCAGCTGGTAGTTACCAAGGGTTCACCATATCCAGGCCTAGGCTTCCAGTTGGGCAAATGGGAGATGAACAAAACAGGTAAGTCGCTGCTTTCGGGAACTGACGATGTGCCTGGACTCCTTCCCCTTCAAGAAGCTTTTGGCATTTGTTCACTCAGCCAACATTTCCCCAAGGCCCCTGTCTGCCGGGTCCTTCAATGGACTCTGGGGAAACATGAATTGGACGTGTTCCTTGCCCTCGAGTGAGATGGAAAACAACCGGTAAACCATTACTGCGTTCCAGCCTTGTGCAGACGCGTGTTTACTATACAGCTCGCTCGTAGTAACCTCTCCCTTCAGGGTGACTTAGGGGAGCTTCAAAAGCCCTTTCACAGCCCTCGTTTTGGTTCTTGGAACAGTGAAATATATGACCTGCAAGGTTCATTTAGTTATCCTTGTCGGAAGAGGATGCTGAGCTCGTAGAGAAGAAAGAGGCCCCAAAGATCCCTAAGAAGTTCGTGGTGGCACTGGGACTACAGTCCGGGGTCCCTCAATACTGAAATGTGAAGACAAAGCCGGTTCAGGGGGCACTGCCTGGGTGAGTCTGGTTCGACCCACGAGAGGGCGGCAGTGTGGCTACCATGCTCTAAGGCTGGAGATCCAGCAGGCGACAGACCTCATACCAGGGCTCAAAAGTCACATGGACGTGGACCACCATAATATAAAGGACATGGAAGTTTCACCGGGGGCGGAGGGCATGGAAGAGTCACTTTATCAGACTAGGGGGCTAACAAAGCTTCCTGGAGGAGGATGATGCCCGAAGGACGACAGAGCCACAGGGGCTTGCCAGGTAAAGTGGACAGAGAATTCCAGGTGGAGGGTTTTGTGTGTCTAACTCAACCCAGCTCTTCCAGAGAATTTCAAATAGATTGGTATGGTTTGAGAGGCTGGCGGTAGGAGGCTGGATCCTGAAGGGCCATGAATTCCAAATAGCGGAGCTTGGGTGATCTTGTAGGCCCGGGGCTGGAAGCTGGCAGCTGCTGGATATAAGACACTGACACATTTGGTTTAGCCCATACATTAAAAAAAAAAAAAAAAAAAAAAAAGGCTGAGTTATTTGCCAACATTTGAAAATCAAGAGATTTTACATAATACGAACTAATGGAACTTCTGAAAAATTTGGAAGATCTAGCAACACAGTCTGCATCCTCCCGGGGCCAAGTAGCCGTTGCTCTCTTTGGACGTGGCATATATTCTCCAGTTTGCTGCCATTTCCCTAGCACTGTCAAATCCCAACGCTGAGCCCAAGTGTCAGTGGTCCTATCTCACCTCGCTGGTCCTGGTGTTTCCCCTCAAACCCAGCCACCTTCCTCACTTAGTTACATTGCCACCACAGTTCCTGTAGGCACTCAACATTTGGAATCCCTTCTCACGGCCACAAGGAGCTGTGGGTTGGTGACAAAGTTGGGGTCTGAGTTTTGGAAGGATGGATCCACGTGGCCACAGTATGGAGAATGAAGCGGGCAGGGCGTGGACGTGTGAGACCACTGTCGGCTTGGTCTACAAGAGTAGTGATGATGAAAAGAAGCATTCAGATTCCAAAGATATTTGGCTCAACAGCGGGAAATTGATAGGGAGTCAGATAAATGGATTAAGGAGGAAAAAGACTCAAGGAAGCTGCCAAGGCTTCTAGCTCTGGTGGTGATGCCAGTGATGGGAAACATGGGCGTTTCCTTGCTAAAAACTGAATTCTGTTCCCCTTATGAGTTGTCTGTGGGACAGCTTATGGGGGTGTTGGGTGAACAGGAAGGGGTGCAAATCCAGGGCTCTCCCACCTTTAGTATCCTGACATGGGAGTCCCTTCGTTTTGCCAAACCTCCCTGATCCCCAATCCCACAGCTGAACGACATAGCTTCTTTGAATAGCCAGACACTGTCCGCCCCATTCTGAAGATGAGGAAACAGAGGTTTGGAGAGAGTTGCAACTCACTGCTGGGGCCAGGACCACAGTGTGGCCCTTCTACCCCCAGCCCTGGAACACAAGACCAACATAGAGAAAAACCCTTCATAAAGTCCTTTAATGGGAACAGAACTGGAGGCTTCCCACCTGCAGCTCCTCCTCTGCCCAACCCCCCAGTGACCCAACTCTTGTTCCCCAGCCGCCAGACGCCAGCCAGGCCACCACACTGCCACCCACCAACCACTCCTTGGCATAGCTTGGGACCAGGCTGTAAGCCGTTCGCCTCAAATTGGGAGTGAAGGCAGTTAGAGAAACTTGAGGCTACTTTGTAGACCTGGGGGACCATGGGCTCTGAGCCTGAAGCTTTAGGAGGGGGATGTTAGGTGACTGTTCGTGGTCTGGGTTTTCAGTTGCCTTGGAAGAGGAGTCTGGGTGGCTTAGGCAGGGACCACATGGGAGCAGGGCTAGCAGCTCCTGCAGTCAAAATTCTTACGGTCAGGCTTCCATCCTTGCGACCTGAGCGCTCTTGGCTATGACTTGGGGACCCTCTGGCTTTGAGGTGATGGGGTCCCAGTCTCTTTATGGAGGACCCGGTGGGCGTCTTCTGCCTGAGGACGGGTAGGCATCCCATGGTCAGTGCAATCCAGTGAGGTAGGCAAAAGGTTCCATCCTGGTCCCCCCTCTGCAGTGCTCAGCTCTGCTGCTGCAAGCTGTGTCTTGCGCAAGGACAACCCATCAGGGGGGCAAATGGGGCAATGAAATCGAGCCCGTGTTCCTTGCATTTCGCTGGGCATCCACAGGGCTGCCTCTGTGCCTTCCTCTGAATCTCATGCAGGTGCTGTGTGGCTTGTGAGCGTCCTGAGCCAGCTTCTCCCTCTGCTCGCCCACCCTGGCCGCTCGTTGCCATCTCCGTGGGCTCTTATGTCACCTCTCCCCCAACCTCTCCCCTTCCTCCCCTGCCTCTGTTTCCCACCCACCCCTCCCCTGCAACCTGCCACCTACCTCCCACCTTCCTGCTCTCCCAGACTACTGGTCGACCTCCACCTTCACTTCGGTGGTCTCCCCACGTCTCTCTTCCAGAGTGTTTCCTGCCCCACACCCACTCCCTGACCCATCGGCCCCCGATGCCAGCTGGCTTCCAGAGTCTCCCAACCCCGGTCCCGGCCCGTGGAAGTGGGTGCGCTGATGCTTTCGGAAGTTGGAGGAGTTGTTGAAAGTGCGATCGCAGAGGGTGCAGCGGAAGGGGCGCTCGCCAGTGTGGATGCGGGCGTGGCCGCTGAGCACCGAGGACTGGGTGAAGCCCTTGCCGCACACGCCGCAGTGGTAGGGCCGCTCGCCCGTGTGCACCCGCTCGTGGTCTCGCATGTCTGAGGAGCGGCGGAACGGCTTGGCGCAGAACCTGCAGGCGAAAGGCTTCCCCACCGCCGCGCCTGCAGCCGCTGCAGCCATCACCACCTCCGACCTCTCCTGGGGCACCCCGGGCCGCTGTTCTTGAGCCGCCGCCGCCGCCTCCGGAAGCCTTTGAGAGGTCCCCGGCTCCACCCCGTGTCGGTGCTGGTGCCGCAGCAGAGGTGCCAGGGCCTTGAAGGCCCGGGGGCAGAGCGGGCAGCGGTAGGGTCGCTCTCCCGTGTGCAGGCTGTAGTGGGCACGGAGGCTGGCGGGGCCTGGACAGCTGTGGCCACACACATGACACCGGCTTGGGTCCCCACCCTGCCCACCACCCTCAGCCCCCGCCAGGTGGCCGTGTTCGTGGAACAGCAGCTCGGAGACCAGCCGGAAGACAGCTGGGCACAAGGCACAGTGGAGAGAACCTGGCTCCGGGGGCTCAGGTACCAGCGTGGTGTCTGTCACCTTCACCACCTGGATCTCGATGAGGTCACTCGGGGGGGTGGCCGGCCGGCTATCATCAGGCACCAGGACCTGGGTGAAGGTGGGGGGGGGAAGAAACAAGGAGCCTGTGGACTCTGCCTCAAGGTCTCCCCAACACGCCTTATTAAACACACTTATTAAACACACTTACTAAAACACACTCTGTAACATACTGAGCCCCTTAATTTCTAGATTCGGCTCTCCTTCCTGCGAGATTCTGCTGTATGACCACGAAGACTTCCCCTCCTGTCCAAACTATATCACAGATCCAGCCATTTCTCTCCTCCACCCCACTTACAGTTAAGCCAATCATTTCTTGCCAAGTCCCCTGACCCTCTGAATGACTCTGTTCCTACGCCTGCTCCCTTATAACCCACCTCCCCAAAGCAGCCCGAATGACCTTTTGAAAATGGAAATCAGACGGCAGTCATTTTCCCACTCAAAACCCTCCCATGATTCCAACTGCTCTTAAAATCCAAAAACGCCATCTACTATCCATCATGATCTGGCTCCCGCTTATCTCTCTGACCCTAGTGTAAATATAAGCCGGCACACAGCTGACTTCTCTCGTCTAAATTTAGCTTCCCTACCCCCCAACTCTATCAGCTCACTCTTTTTTATAGAACGTAACACAGTAAGTCTCGTCTATTGTCTCTCTTCCCTACCCAACTGCAAGCTGCAAAAGAATACAGCTTATGTGTCTCATTCACCTCTCCATCTGTCTACCCCAAGTAGGAGCTGAGTAAATGTCTGTTGAATGAATGGTTGTCCTCAGATACTCTCCCATCCTGAGTGGGGTTCCAAGGTCACCTGGAGCAGTCATTTCTCCCCCCAGATCCTCCACTGGGCATCAGGACGCATCACTCAGACCCTTGCAGAATCATCCCCCCACCCCAACGTGCATGCCCCAACCATAACCCCACACCTTTGCCTTTCAGGGTCACCTTCCCAACCTTCCACCTTAGAATTTCGGAGGCCCCGCCCCCTGAAGGCTCCGCCCCCTAATTAGAAAAACTTCATCCCTGGGACTCCTCTCTCTGGACCTATCACCAGCTCAGATGTTCCGCCCAACCCCCTCCTCCGGCTCCGCCCCAACTCAGGCCCCCCCGTCCACCCTCATAGGCTCTGTGCTAAGCCCCACCCCTCGCCCACCCCGAGAAGCACCGCCCCCAGGGCCGGAGCGCTAAATACCTTCCCCGCCCAGCCCTAAGCCCCGCCCTGGCCCCGCCCACCCCTGCGCCCTCCTCCCGCCTCGAGCTCCCCGCCCAGGCCCCTTCCTCGCCCGCACCAGGTCCGGAGGCTCCGGGGATCTCGGCTCCTGGGCAGCTGAGCTCGGACTCCGGGACTCCGGGCGCGCAGCGGCCATCTTGTGCCCAGGCCCCGCCCCCGAGGCCAGCGGTCGCTCCGGGAGGGGGCGTGGCCTGGGTTGGCGTCAGCGCCTCGGCGCAGGCGCACTGGAGGACGGGCCGGGGCTTCCCAGGAGCCGGGTCTCCCCCTCCCCGGGGAGAAAGTGATGAATTTCTTCCTAATTACCTGTCAGTTCCCGCAGGAGACAGCCTGCGTGGGTTACTGGGTGGCTGCGAACTAATTCGAATTTCTCTTTTTAACCTATATGAGTAAGCTCTGGCAGTCAGTTGACACTGACCAGAATTGAATAACCTTTGTTCTCCTTTCATGTTACACGTTTTTGTGGTCACCTCCTCTGCATGGCTCGTGATAACCTAGTGAGGCAAAGTTTATGAATGTAAGGTGTTTAAAGTCCGTTTGCAGAAAGATATTCAGCAAACAGCAACACTGGTGATACTGGGATTTATTTGCAAAAGACCTTAGGTACCGGACCGCTAGGGAAGTCCCGGGAAATGCTCTTTTGGAGGAAAGAGCCCAAAGACTGGCGGTTTTCGGCAGCACCAAGGACAGGGCTGAGGCCTTAGCCCTCCAACTGTTAATTTCATGGCCTGGCTGCGTGACCTTGGAGAGGTCAACAAACTTCTCTCGACTGTGCCTGCATTTTCCCATGTACAGAACTGTAGAGGGTTGTAAAACCTAATAAGAAAGGGATATGCAAGATCTTTGGAACAACCTTAAGTTGTTTTCTTGGCAGGGCAGGGTAGGAGGTGCTAAACATGAAGGTCATTCCTAAACTCTCTGTTTCTCCTCCTTATGGGAACGTGATTAAGATTGTATTTTCCAAAAAAAAAAAAAAAAAAAAAAAAAAAAAGATTGCATTTTCCTTTGCAGTTAGACGTGGCCATGTGATTCCCTTTGCCCAATGAACTATAAGTGAAACCAACGTGTGTCAACTTCAGCACAAGATAAGAGCCAGCAAGCTGTTCACCACTTTCCATCCAGGCAGTTCTGTGTGGGGATCTGTTGGGTGAAGTGAAGTTTCCATCAGCCTGAATTCCAGAGTATGTATCTACAGTGACCAGAAACTGATGCTCATTTTCCTTGGATATATAGCATTTAAAATTATCATTTGTTTGATTAAAGCCACTGAGCTTTGGGGTTGTTTGTTACTGCAGCAGAACCTATTGTATCTTGACTGATAAACCTAGGGAGTCTTTCTTCTTCTTTTTCTTTTTTCTTTTGGCTGCATTGGGTCTTTGTTGCTGCAGGTGGGCTTTCTCTAGTTGTGGCGAGCAGGGGTTACTCTTTGTTGCAGTGCGCAGGTTTCTCATTGTGGTGGCTTCTCTTGTTGTGGAGCGCAGGCTCTAGGCGCGTGGGCTCAGTAGTTGTGGCACGGGAGTTCAGTATTTGTAGCTCATGGGCTTAGCTGCTCAGCGGCATGTGGGATCTTCCCAGATTGAACATGTGTCTCCTGCATTGGCAGGTGGATTCTTAACCACTGTGCCACTAGGGAAGTCCTAGGGAGTCTTTTCTTAATTTTATTTTGAACCATTTCTGTATACAAAAATTATTTGGAATCATGTAAACGGCTCCCTATCCTCACTAATAAACTTAGAAGACTATACAACTTTACAGAAGCAGTCTAAGCCCTCTGTGTACCCCCCATCCATTTTCCTCCCTCCCTCCCCTAAGGTTATTAGATTTTGCATTTTCTGTTTATCATTACCACGCATGCCTTCCTATTTTGCTACATATCTGATACAACGTGATATTGTTCTGCGTATGTTAACACATTAGGATAAATGATATCATTTCAGTGTAAGCTTCTCTAACTTTTTGCCCCCTCGACATTGTTTTTTATATTTGTAAACATGGATACTTGTAGTCTAGTCACTCATTGTCAATGCTGGTGTGATAGCCCACTGGTGATGATGCCATAGTACATTT